TGAACGGGTTCTGATGAGAACAGTGTAAGCGTTCAAGCAAACCACTTCTGAAGATGCAAGCCACTCGTGCTTGCGAAACGTCCGGAAGAAATTCTACCGAACGACGGCCTAAAAACCCGAAAAACCCATTAGTTTAAATTCTTATGGGGTTATTTGCTGCAAGAGCGGAACCATAAACCGATCTTTTCCCGTCATTACATCTGCATATGCGATGTTTTGGCCGGATTCATAAATAGAAAATGTCCATTCATATTGAAATCGACCGTTCGAACACAAAGCTTCAAAGGCATTTCCATGAATATTCTAAAGGCGGACATAATGTTGAATAATCCCGGGTTTTGCGCCGATTTTAATTTCTTTGACCCTAATTTGCATAGGTTTTTGTGCGCCAAACAAATATACTCCGAGCAATTTTCTCCTAAATGCAGAAAGAGCCCAACAAATTATTTGCCAATAAATTGTAAGGTAACACTTACCTGAACAGCTGAGAGCAGTTTACACAAAAAAAACAGAAAACTATTGAAGCGCCAACATACAAAAATCGCTGCCGCTCTTGCTGAAAGCAGTGTTAGGAAAGCACTAAACGCTAACCGGGGTTTTACTAGCCGAAGGTGTGGGAGTAGAATTATCGGAACCAATGGGGCCAGTAGTAAGACTGCAGGCCACTCTTCGTCCAGTTGATGTCACATAAATACATAACATAAATACGCATTGTTCTGAGACGAAACATGCGAGAACGGTCGAGTTTCAGAAGAAAAATTGCTTCAATTTTCAGTTTCAATTTTTTTAAATACTCGCAGATGTTACGAGAATCGGATACTTTGAGGACAAAAATTCAGCAAAATCTCTCTGATTTCGAATAAATCTTAAAAGCTCTTCAGAAAACGCTGGGAAAATCATGAAGCTTCGCTCACGGGTTTGCAAAAAACGCTGTTTCTCTTGGACCAAGAGCAAGGCAAAAAAGCGTTGACCTGACAAAAATCGGGTTTTAAAACATTAATTTATCTTAAAACTGAAAAATACAAATAAACCCCATTAGTACTCAAGCGACAAGATCGGCCTTATCATGCAGGCACGACCTTAGATAAAGGGTTATCTGCATTTATTAGGTTTTTTCATTCACTAATAGCAACTTGACGATTTCCTAGACATGGTTTTATCATAGGGGATACGAGATGTTTGAGCATAGAACAAATGGATCACAGATAACCCCAGTCGAGTTTATGGAGATTTTTCTGCATCTTCGCAGGTTTACTCTTCCGATGCCTATCCATAGAGAATTAATGGATTTCATAATAAGGTTGCATGAGAGCGTCTCGCGATTTTTCCGCGGTATGTACGGACGGACAGCATGTACCGTAAGCTAAGCATAAACATTTTGAAGCACGATTTTCGCTGCTGGATCCTCCTAGCTCATCGTTCTTCGGACGTTTTAATAACCAATTTTCTGTCCAGTAATTAGTTCCTGTTCCAGGCAGGTTGCGGCGACTAGATGACATTGAATTTCCCTTCTAGCGTGCGCTTGAAGCGCTAAAAAACCTTGAAGCTCTGGATTTATTTGGAAAAAATCATGCATTTTTTCTAGCGCATTTGGATAACATCTAGATAGAGGCGCTCGTTCACGCTTAGTTCATATTGTCCTCTATAAACGTGGTAAATTGCCAAGTGAAGAAAGCCCCGCGGCTTCTTGCTAAGTCAACGGTGCACTTCGGAAGAAATTCTTCACTATGTGCGACTAGACCGCCAATTTATCAAAAGTTGCAGGCTCGCGCTTAACACATGAATAGCCATTGGAAATATCTGAAAGAATTTTTAATTTCCGAAGAATCCAGCATCCATTTATATTCCATCAGGTCATTAACTCGAATGTTTATGATGTATGAATATGGCTTTCTGGTTTGTTTTATATTCTGCGGTCAGGAGCGAATGGCGCTGCTGAAAATCGACCTGCAGGAACTAAATAGTCAATGGAAATATCTGATCGAATCGATGACGAAGAAAATCGTTGGTATATTTACAGAAGAAGAGTTTTTTTTATCAGACTATGAAGGCTTTCACGGCCGGTCAGATTACATTTAGGAATGTTTCCCGGGCTTTGAAGCCGTGGTCTATCGGAATTTCTTCCTGACGTTTCGTCCACAACTGCGGTGGACATTTTCAAAGGCGATGAGGCAGTGGGCGAAGTGCTAAGGCAAAGGCTAAGAAATTCCTTAGTCGGAAGGCACGGGAGATCACTTCGCCCACTGCCTCATCGCCTTTGAAAATGTCCACCGCAGTTGTGGACGAAACGTCAGGAAGAAATTCCGATAGACCACGGCGTCAAAGCTCGGAAAACTTTCCTAAATGAAGAGTTTTTTATTTGTCAGCTCAAGCTCTATCATTACCAATCTTCATCGGTATGGTACAATGAGAGACGTCGCATCAAATCAATTTTGTAAATGCATTCCACCGCGTGTCGGGGGTCTTTAATTGGTGTAATCAAAGGCGATGGTACAGTTATTCTTCGTGGTCGTCGCGTTTCCGTGTATGAAGATCACGCCCGGACTGAATCGTGATTTTCTCCAACTTAAATCGGCTCTTTCCGTTTACTTACCGGCTTATATTGACTATTATTTATAGAGGCCCGAAGACCTAATCAGTGTTAAGTCCAGTCGCTTTGATGTAAAAGCTAGAATTCAATATTTAAAATGTTACTTTCCCAGTCCCTCCATCAAGCGATGTGATATTAAATTGATAAATGGGCAACTGGCTGACCAAGGGAATTAATATTCCCTCTGCTCTGCCTCAGGAAGTCTTATAATGGTGGCCCTGATTGATGTAAGAAAGCAAACGGGTTTTGAGATAGGGGTGATTGGTGATTTCAACCCCATTTCGAAGGTTTGGAAATCGATGCCATTTGTTCGCCCTTCCCGCTTAGATTAGGGCCATTCCCAGTACATACTTTCACGTTGAAATCGTCGCAATTATCACTAGCCGCTTGAATCTTAAAATATCTCTCGGGAATTTATTGAGCTAGTTGAAACTGCCGTCGGTAATGCGTATCGTTATAAATTAGCACCGGTCAATTCGACCCCCTATTTCAAAGTGTTCAAGTAGCTACACTTAGCTATATGATCGCCATAATCTCGACTCAATTTATTGCCCCCAAATACGGACGATCTTCCCTCGAACCCAAATTGTCGAAAAATAATGAGCGGCTATTGAGAATCTCCATATTTCAAAGTGTCCGATTGGCTTCTCCAGGGATTTGCCAGCGATTGACTATCGGGGCTCTCGCACCTGCCAAAAGACACTGGAGTTATCGCTGAGCCATCATGCAAGCGCTATGCTCAGTTGGTTTGTTTTATTCAAATTTTGCGCATTTCTCTGCTATTTATTCCCCAAAATTGCTTAAATTGCCACTGGCTGAGTAAGCAGAAGTCAATTGATTGAAGCCAATTTGTTTGGGTGGATGGAACCGCCTGGGAGGTCGTTTTCTAATTGGAATGGCACTTTTTATGCAGGGGCGGGAAAACATTAAATATATTCAAAAAAGGGCAACTTTGGTTGCCTACGGTTAAAGTCAGATTTTGGTTATTTGCTGGGTTATGTTTCAGGTTTCTGCCAAATTAATGAACTTTCGGAACATTTGTTTGCGTGTCTAGTTTTTGAAAATTATTTATTTTTTAGGCCTTTTCCGATTAATGTAGTGCCATTTTTGCGGACAATGAAGTACCTAAATCTACTGGTGCTCTTTTCCATGGTAAGCCAATACAGCTATTTTCAATACGCCTTGTTTGAATTAGCCCAGGTTTTTCCCATCAAAATATTCAGTTTTACACAGTTTTATATTTATTCGCAATTTTCTGCATTCGCCTGCCCACTAACACCATTCAGGCCCGTTGAATGTATGCAAAAAGGAGCATTTACCTGTCCTGTGGATGTTTACTTAAAAAAAACTACAAATCCCCTGATGTTTAACGACCTTTTACATTCCCAATGTGAGAAAGCCATTTTCATTTGGGCATTCCCAAGGGCAAAAAATCGCATTTTAGTGTCCAACCTTCGACCAATTCCAGTTTATTTGGTTGGCCGGAACTTGCACCCTAGGAAACATGTGTGGGATGTTATGAGGAGCTAAAATTGATTTTCTGAGCAAACTAGGAAGGTTTAAACATTGAAGATTCCTATTGCATCTTGTACCAACGCGCGGCTTGTTGCACTTCAAACCCAAAGCGACACCGTTGAAAACTTGCTGATTTTTTACCAATTTTACATCTTAAAAACTAACTAGCGGAATGAGCTCAAAAAACACAGGGGAATGTTTTCAGAAAAGGCAATAAGGCACGGTTTTGTTTCAAAAAAGTTAGTCGCTCTAAATTCTTCAATGCTAGTAAACCAGATTTTGGCCCCTTTGGCGCTCAGAAGTAAAATTAAACACTAAACTAGTTTTACTTTGCAGTTGGTATGCTTAAAGCCAAGTGTATACTCAGCTAGACAAAACGATAAGAAGCTATTTATCGAGAATCTCACCGAAACGAAAGATCTGAAAAAGCTGTTGCGGACCAAAACAAACGTTCTGGTTTGTTTTTACAATTCGGAGAAAAAAGCTCAAAGCATTTTAAGTGTGCTACGCGATGTGGCGAAGAATGTTAAAGGCGAGGGCGTCATTGCAACCATCAACTGTGCAGGGTAAGGCTGACTTTCATACTGGCGCGTTTTGGCAAGTTTTGCCATTTGTAGGGAAGCAAAGAAGCTGTGCAAGAAGCAAAAAATTCCCCGAGAAGAACCGTTTGTGTTGAAGCACTATAAAGATGGGGAATTCAATAAGGACTACGATCGCAGGTTTAACGAGAAGTCGGTGACTAATTTCATGAAGGACCCGACTGGGGATTTGCCGTGGGACGAAGACGATTCTGCCAAGGATGTGGTTCACATTCCTGATCCAACGGTACGTACCCTACTAAACACCTTCAAGTTTTTACCTGGGAGCTGACAACACTCTGTCACGTACAGCTCCAGGTCTTCATCAAAATTCCTGTTGAATTCACCCATTTTCTGCAGAAAAAGCATGAAAACACATACATTTTACCAATTGTTTCAGACCCTAGCGAAGTTTCTAAGGAAGGAGGGTAAACCGATTTTGATCATGTTCTACGCCCCATGGTGTGGCTACTGTAAAACGCTCAAACCCGAATACTCATTGGCAGCAACTGATTTGAAAGACCAAGCGGTGCTCGCTGCTGTTGATGTAAACCGGCCGGAAAATGCGGTCCTGCGGAACCAGTATAACATCAGCGGGTTTCCTACATTGCTCTATTTTGAGTGAGTGCCATTTACCTGCCTAGATTTATTTAAAACGGATTTTCCTTGCAGGAATGGCGCATTGAAATACACCTTCGAGGGCGATAATAAAAGGGCGTCATTGGTGCAGTTTATGAAAAACCCTACAGCCCCAGCGGTGAAAGTGAAGGAACCCGACTGGTCAGAATCCATCAGCGATGTGGTTCATTTATCTTCAGCCAACTTCGACGCCATCCTCAAGGATGACGCCTCTGTGCTGGTCATGTTTTATGCTCCATGTAAGAAAGGCTCGATTTTTATTGCCTCTAGTCCTGATTTGCGTATTTAGGGTGCGGACATTGCAAAAGAATGAAGCCCGAATACGAATCAGCCGCCGCTCAAATGAGGGAAGACGGGGTAAGCGCTCGAAAATCTCGCACATTGTAAAGATAAGTGTTCTTCAATAGATTGTAGGTATATTGGCTGCAGTGGATGCCACTAAGGAACCATCGGTGGCATCGCGATTCAACGTGAAAGGCTACCCGACAGTGATTTACTTTTCCCATGGAGAGCAACTGTACAAGCCCAATGTGAGGGAAGCCGCTAAAATCGTCGACTTTATGAGGTAAAATTCCCGTTTAAAGCCCTAAGAACGGCGCTAAAATGTAAAACTCAGGGACCCCAAAGAGCCACCGCCGCCGCCGCCACCAGAAAAGCCTTGGAGCGAAGAAGCAAGCGATGTTATTCACTTGACTGAAGAGAGCTTCAAGTCAGTATTGAAGAAAAAGAAGCACGCCCTGGTCATGTTTTATGCCCCGTGTAAGTGGACGGTTGAGTGAAACCAGACAAATGAAATGAAAATCTGGTCCTTTATAGGGTGCGGCCACTGCAAGAAGGCAAAGCCCGAATTCACGGAAGCAGCGGCAGAATTTCGAGATAATCCGCGAGTGGAATTTGGCGCAGTGGATTGCACAGTAGAATCCTCCATCTGCACGGCCTTTGAGGTCACCGGCTATCCGACGCTGAAGTATTTCAGTTATTTCAACAAAAAAGTGCTGCCCTACAATGAAGGACGCACGGTAAGTTCTCCATCTAACATCTCCGACTTCGGCCCACTGATGTTCCTCCTACCCGTAGAAAAAGGACTTTGTTCAATACATGTCCAACCCGATGCAGATCGTCAATGTATCGAACGCGGCTCCTGCTGAAGAAACCTGGTCTTTAGACTCGGCAATTTTGCGACTGGACGACAGGAATTTTAGCGCGGAACTTCAGAAGAACGACTTTGTTTTAGTGATGTTCTACGCCCCATGTGAGTGACTTTTAAGGTTTCGTGTGCTGAACTGACTCCCACTGCTTGTTTTAGGGTGCGGCCACTGCAAACGAATGAAACCCGACTACATCTCAGCTGCTCAACAGTTGGAAGCTGAAGGGTTGAAAAAATGCCTGGCCATGGTGGACTGTACGGAAAATCCAGATCTAATGGAAAAATACGAAATTCAAGGGTTTCCGACGATTAAGCTGTTTAAGAAGGGCGCATATTTAGCTGATTATAAAGGCAAAAGAACTGCGGGGGATATCAAGCAATTTATCAGGCAGTATTACACAAGCAGGGACGAATTGTAGGCGTCCATATGCAAGTATCGACTGAACATCGGAGCGAAAACGCTTTTTTTAAGTAAAAACTGGTAGGGTGAAACAGCAAAAAAATAATAGAAACCGGCCTTTTCCAAAAGTGTGCACTCCACTGCCAGTAAAACGCCAAGCGCTTTTCCAACAACGTGAATCTCACATTCCCTTAGGGTTAAACCACTGTAAAGTTAGTATTAACATCACTCTCTGCTACCTAATTATTTAACTCGACTTTTGCCGCTTTAACAAATTTTGATTAATTCACAGTTGCAAGGTTGTGTTTATCTCAGGAATTTTCCATGTGATAGTAATAAGGCTCAAAAAAGCACCATTCTGGCAAGAATTAATTTCTTGTGAACGTCTGAAAGAGTGCATAAACATTTCAAATTTCTTATTTCGCTATTTAAATCCCCCATGTTCTGACTCAATAAAATATAACGAAGTACAAAAGTGCATTCAAATATATTTCAAAGGTGTACTCAACAATATCTCGTTTACAAATAACTTAATCATAGCATTATCACGCAACTAAAATACTATCACACTAGAGAAACATGGCTGTAGCTTATTGTTGAAGCCATTATGGCCTGATATTTCATATTATGCACCAGCAAACGGAATTCGCCGTTTTTTATTAACACGGAGCCACTATTGCAAACAAGTGTTAGAAAAACGTTTCGTCAAGTACTGTTTATCTATGAGGAAAATATCAACTCCAGTATATAAAGATACATTACATATTTAATATCAACGCCTTTATATTTAAAAAATACACTTTTATCTGCAGAAACCATACATAAAGAGTCCGGGATTATAGGGGATTTCGGAGTATTGTACCTAGTAATTATTTACGGCCGGAAAAATATTTAATGCTGCTCTAGTTTCAAGGTACACAAATAATATTAGGAGTATAAAACGCCACCAAACTAAAATCCCAAATGATAGAGTATTATTCGAAAAACACACATACAAATCAACTACAAAAAACACATATCTAAATATTTGTACAACCAGTGGACCGCTTGCTGAAGCACACGAACGTATGTATTGAAAAAACTAAACCAACGGTAGTTTGGCCTAATGAGGCAATTACTCAATTGCAAAATCACTTGAATTTGAAGGCTCTTCTACCTATAAATGAAAACGGAACGTCGTGGACTTTTGAACCGCATATAGGCATGCAAACGGAAAACGAACAAACTCTAAAACTACGACACTCAAACGCCTTATGAGGAGTGATGATGATGGGTCTTCAAGCTGTTACAACTTTGAGAATCCTTTATAACTGGGGCGGATTCGCGGCGAATGTCGTCCGTTAAAACCTTCATTTTTCCCGGCTCCTTTAAAGGCACACTATCTCTCCTATAGGCATTGTTGATGTGTGAAATAAATGTCGAGGTATTTGAAGAGTTTGTCGGCGCATTCGGCTTGGCAACCTGAAAGAACGGTTCTGGTTTAAATCCCGGAAAATCGTTAGTGTTTTCCAACAAAAAAACCCCATACAGAAACATTTCCTTCAACACATCAGCGAATGTTGCTACTACCTATACCGAAAATCCATGTGGCAAACATGGAAAAGCGAAAGATGGTCGTATAATTACCTTAGCATGAAATCTGTGTCTTATTTAAAGGCAAGCGCCTCGTTATTGTATAGTTTTTTAGGTTTGTTCTAAAAATAATAACAATTTGAAATTATTTCCAGGTAACAATCTTGCAAATTAATTAAGAAAGTTGCACTGCAGTGCAGTTAGGAAACTCATCTCCTCTACTAGGGTACAAACCTCTTTAATTGAAGTGATGGCTTTGCTCATCCAAGGCGCCCAGCTACTTCTGGCTGCGGTTAGTTCCTGTTCAGTGTAACGCAGCTGGTGAGTTAAATTCTACACGTGGACACAAACTCGTTTAGTTGATTCAAAATGAATTATTTTGCCATTTACCTGATTACGGCACTCCGCCTCTACGTGGGCTAATTTAGTTTGGGCCAATTCCAGCTCCAACTCCCTAATTCTGGCGTCTCCAGTCAGCTCAGCTCCACCTCGAGGACGTTTGTAATCGCCATCATACCCACAAAACTTAACACAATCTGGACAATTGGAAATGGCGTCCTTCAAACTGTCCAATGCTTGTCTAGCAACATTTAGCTGCACATCTAGCCGTTGCCGAACCATTTTATAGTCGTGGATCACTTGCGAGTTGGTCCTTTTCTCCGTGTCGGCCACGTCCACCTGTTAAATATTCGCTTGAGTCTCGGTTCTAATCCTGTATCAAATAGTTCGGAATTTACCTCTCTCTTTAGCATCTCCTTTAGCTGGGAGATTTCATCGAGCATTAATAACTTTTCTTCTTCCAACCTTTGGACGGTCATTCGAAGTTTCTCTACTTCGCTTGCCTCGCTATCTCGGCGATCCTGCGCCTCTGAATCCGAAGAAATTATTTCCCAATCATCTGGCAATTTTTACAAACACATTTTTGGTCTATTGACCGCTCTTGGAAGATATTAGTAATCACACTCCAAACACATTTAGGTCTATTCCTACTTGGTTAGCTACGTATTTCAAGGAAACAAACATTACCTTGCATAACAATATGCGGATAAAACGAGAGCATGATAATAGTTCCCGATAAACGTGCACCTTCAAAAGTAAATCGCCAATACAACTACTTTGTCCAATTGCGAAAAACGCCGATTATCAGATTTAAATTATCAATTGTTCTCCAGGTGCTTAACGTGGTTTATTGCAATGGGAACCAGATGAGAGTTTTACGAAATCTAATCAACTTACCCTTGAGAGTGATAAAATCGGCTTCGTATTTTTTCAGCTTTTTCACTTTAATGCCGCAAGCGAGCTTGATTAGCTGCTTMGCCGCTTCTTCACTTCTACATTTCTTGGGCAAAGACACTCTGAAGTATTTCAGGATTCCTTCRAAGTCCAGTTGAAGCAGGTCTTTCTTGCATACCATTAGCAATGCCAAAGCCATCTGGAAGAGAGTTTCCGTCCCTAAAAATCAACAGCTTAATCCMGTTGGACTGTGGCTGTAGATAGAAAAAAATACCCTGAAGAAGAAAAACGTCGATAATATGAAAGACAAAGTACAAAGGAAATCTGGCAGTGAAAAGAGTTAGGAACCACTGAGAGGCGAACATATGGGTTTCAATGCGGTGCTCGGTGAAATGGTTCCAGAGAGGATTCAACTGTTCCTCCATTAGTCTGAAACAAGCGCCTATTTAGTTAAGGACGTCCACAATTTGCGCCTACATGTACCTGTTGAGTTGATAGAGGCGCAAATAGAGATTCTCAAAGCCTTGCTTGTAAAAGTCTCGTAACTTGTAGTCATACATAAGATTGACTAAAACACAGAAAGCTTGTTCTTCCGGCATCTGAAACAGGARCGTTTTCCATCGGGTGGCAGGATCATCAGCGGCGAAACTTACATGCAATAAAAGAGTGGCAGCYAGAAAGCTCAATCCTTGGCAATAGCCGACTTCGGAATCGAACACAGCATARGCTTTGCTGACTCTGTATAACGAGTCCTGTCCGAGGCCTCCGGCTTCTTTAAAGAAATCATGAGCCGGAAAAGTCCGGGCAATATCCCGTTGGATRACGTTTTCACATGAGGACTCCTATTRAAACATCGCATAYATTTTATAGATGTTAACATGTTGGAACTCACCTTTGTGATTAAAACTCTATACATATTCATCATCTCGCTGTTCTCTTGGACTCCGGCTAATCGCTGCCAAACTTCGCCCCTCAGAGCCTCAGGAATCCCCAGTTTCACTAAGCTGGCCAATTGTTTGGGGCGTTGATCGGTTTGCTTCCACTTTGTGAGCAGATCGGCCCACGATTCCAGCACGACTTCCGAACAATCTTTCGAAACCAGGCCAGTGCCGCTAAGCAGCGGTTCGTCCCCATCTAAATCAAATCAAAATCTATTAGGTGATTTTTCTGGAACATTTCGTCCCGGGCTCCCACCTGAGTGATATTCTTCTTTCGGAGTCAACGTGTCGATTGATGTAATACTGGGCGATTGAATTAAACTCGACAGGTTCAAGTTGAGATTCAGTAAGTTTCTGTCCAACTCTCCAGACGTCTCCATGTTGAGAACTTCGTATTTCACTTCGCTAAGATCGCTGCTGATCGTCTAAGAATTCAAGTAAAACTCGATTGTTAAAAAAAATTTGATACTGTGTTCTAGTTTGCTTGTCTTGACCTGAATGAGCGCGACTTAATCTTTTGTATCAATAATAATCAGAGTATATTGACCATATTAGTCAGAAAATTAAGCTCATCTACCTGATATCGCTGATTGTTTTAAACACATTAGTTAGATCCACTGCCTGGACATACACTGATATCATTTAAAATCGAAAGCTTTTGTTCAGACGGTAAACAATATTATTGTCTCTGGCCAGTAGTATTCCAATAGCATTTTTAAGTAACAACGATAAGGCCAGATGTTTTATAATGGGAACAACCGTTACGCCGATAAATAGCATGTAGGCGTGTTGTATGTTTCAATTATGGGATTTTCTGTCGTGTCTGCTACAGATTAATTCAACTTAATTGCACTAATCGACTAGCGGATTTATTTAAACCTTAAAAGGGCAAGTCAAGGCAAGTTTTTTCCAAACTCACCTCTCTGAGATTCAAGTAAAATTGCTGGATTAAGGTTTTCTTTTGAAAGTACCAGAAGTTTCTTTCGCTCTGCCCGAAAATTCTAACGGGCGTTTCAATCACAAACCTGCAATATTCGCATAGTGACGTTGGCTAATTAAATTGCAGAAAAACAGCTCGTTTACCTGACTGGCTCTTGAATTCCCCTAATAACCAAGTCAATGCCCACTGTCATGTACTGTTTGGTGTCCTTTTGGGTCTCAGCGTTTAGAGGCTCGAAGTTCTGCTCTGTTGGGTCCCACATGGCGATTATTGAGGTGCAATTGTTCTCAGTTGAGTGATTCTTTTGCTCGTTCTGCAAACCAAAGTAGCATTAAAAGAGAACTTTGCGGAACGCTTGGGTGTTGTAGGCGCACCCTTTCCAGGAGTCGCATATCGGAATGTCTGACGTGCCGTCCGGAAGCGATCAGGACTCCAAAGCACCGCTCGATGACCAAATGGGGCCCATTGTCGGACACTTGTTTAATACTGATTAGTAGCTGCTTTAATATATTCGTCTTCAGTCTAAAGCCGTTGCGATCTTTACCCACCGTCGAGTACGAACCCTGTTAAATAAGGATCGGTTTTGCCAGTGGCCAACTGGAAATTTCAAGTGGTACCTTGCCGTCTTCCTCCTTGATTTCCAAATTGACTTCAAACACATACATTAGTGTTCTGGGCTCAGGCAGTGCTGTGATTGACCCGCACATCATATCTGAAGCGGATGTTACGCTGCTGCTCATCGACTTGGGGGCGCGTTGGAATGCTTTAGCAAAACAGGCTGAAAGCAGCCAGTGAATTTCCGCGTGGCAGAACAACTAGAGGGAAATTACCGGAAACTCTAGACACCGCCTCCACTATATCGCAGCGGAACACATGGCAAAGAAAAATAGCGGATTCCTGTGAATCGCCATGCGACCATGTGAATGAGAAGCAGCCAGCTTCGTTACTATCCACCGAACCTCTGGCGTAAAACAGGATTCGATGCACTTCATATCTAGATATTACTGAATTGGTTTGGCCGTCGTACAGTCTGGAATTGCAAGAATCCATTAAGTTCAACACTGCTGCAAACAAAGGTAGCACTTACACAACCAGGCCTTGACTAGATAACGGAACGGACACTGCAACTTTAATTCCTTGCTCAACGCTTTGCTCGTTCAATATGGCCATATTGCGGTGGATTTCCACCTCCGATTTGGGAGCGTTTATTTGCGCGGCGCCCAAATACGTGATTCCAGAAAATATCGTACAGTCCTGATCCACATCTGAAACTTTCATAGGAAACATTTCGGCTATTTAGAAGCAGTCAAACAGTCGCAAGTGACTCTTCATTCAACCACTTACTGCTGGTGTTGTCATCAGAACTGTGGTCGAGCTTCATTGAATCCTGCTTCTCTGCAGGGCTCAGATCCTGCGTAAGAGGCTCGTCGCCCAAATTCACCGGGGTGCCATAGAAAGTCGACTGGCCAACCTTAAAGTCGCACGTTTGCTCATGAAATTTATCACTCATGGTTGTGTAATTATCAGTTTCTTGTAGCACCTAAGAGGGGCATTAAAAAATTGAAATTATCCCTGAAACAAATGTGTTGAAAATGGACTTGCCTCGTTTAGGGCGTCTCTCAAGTCATACAAATCCCCTTTGAAGTCAAGGGTGGGAGTTTTGCTCACTCCTGGTTTGTCTGTTAGGAAATCAAACTCCTCACTTGTTGGTAACGATTCAGTCGATTTCACACTCAAAGTGTCCTCCATTACGATTCACAAATCAGAGCTGGAATAAAGAAAAACACATTTTACAAAATGAGGATTTTGAACGATCCGCAGTGTTTCAAAGTGAAGATTCTGCGTCTCAAATGGCAAGAGAATTGGGCTTCTTTGACTACAAATCTGCCCAACTCTATGCGCTGATCTTCAAATCAGAAACACAAATAAATTATTTGCTATTTTAAAACTGGAACAGCTCTTCAGGTCCTGCCAATATCATTGTTGTGGTTGTAAATTTAGAAGTTTGGCACTGCACAAGACATTTAGGTAAGTATGTGCATCTATAAGTGCCAGCCCGCATCGTTTGCATGCTAATTGGACGGCACTTTGTAAACAATATCAAACATTTTCATACTGATTTAACAGGCCTGACATATTTTGCTTGAATTACCTAACTGAAAGGTAAGTCCCAGGCGCTTCATGAACCCAATTTGGCCAATGGGTTAGCGATATTTCAGTGAGTTAATGGCCGTTAAATACTGCTGCTACTTAAACGAGCTGATGCGATAATTGAAAAGCTGGCAAACAATAATACTAATTCAATTGAAGTTATTTACATGATTTATGGTCTAATTCAATGGATCGTTGATAGCCAGCGGTCAGATTCAGACCAGCGACTTCTGGCACACTTACCAATATCTTACTGGTCTGTATTCTGCGCTTTATTTACCATTCTGGTCTGGAGCATCGTTTCAAGATACTTTGTTGTTATTTATTTGTTCCAAAAGAAATGCACAGCTAAAGATGGCAGAAAGATTATTTTTGACAACCTGCTGACATTAGTAGGGGCCCAACCATGCCAATCGAGTGAAACCTTTGTTTCTAGATTTTCCAGTTTTCATGCTGGCTATGTTGGCGATACTGTAAGGTCCCATGGGAAGTGACAGTGACTTGGGCACCATTAAAAAATGTCATAATTGTTTTGATTGGATATTTCCTCAAATATTTAATGTTTCTAGTGGATTTTTAATGAAATGTCTCGAGCCAAGTCGCGACAAAACGTTGAAGTATGTGGGGATTGTGGTGCCACAGGTTTGGAACAAATCATTTAAAAACAAATCCAGATTCTATGTGTTTTTCCAACTGCTAGATCCTACATGGGCGTCAGTCAACAAGGGCATATTACTATGTACTCAGTGCTGCAGCATCCACCGCAGTTTGGGCAGGCACATAACTCAAGTGAAATCGTTGCTGAAAAGTACTTGGAACCCAAATCAACTCAATGTAAGTCTCCCCCATCAGCCGCAATGGGGCTTGATTAATGCAGCTCTTGCAGATGGTGACCACTTTGAATAATAATGGAGCGAATAATATATGGGAGCACACTCTACTGGAAAATGGGTCGAAATTGTTGAAGAAGAAACCCGGCCTCAAGGACCCTTTAAGGTAAATCTGACGAGTTATCAATGAGTCACTAGAGATAACAGCGTTGTATCACCAACTAGAATAGCGCTGCGATCATTCTATAAAGCTATAGCCTTGTATATTTTGTGCTTTGTAGCATCAAGCAGGAGTACATAAAGGCCAAACACCAGCATTGTCTATACGCGTTTCGGGAAAATTACGAAGACGGCCTGCTCAGTGTGGAGAATGAGATTGGAAAACAGTTGCATGCCAGTGTGCGGACTCCGAACTTGGAGACTTCCTTTAGACTGCTGGCATTGGGGGCTGACCCGAACTATTTTCACGATGTGAGTGGCAAGGAAGATCCGGAAAAGGCTCTCAACCCTTAATACTTATTCAATAATCTGCGGCCTACGATTCACTTCTTTTAATCAACAATAATATCTGTAGGAAAAGGGTTCAACTCCACTGCACGTTGCCGTAAAGTCCGACCAAAAGCTCCAAGTGGAACTTCTTTTGGTTTATGGGGCTGATCCGACTTGCCCAGACAACCATGGGCGAACGTCTCTGGACTATGCCAGGCAAGCACCGAAACCGCATTAAACAAACCAGGAAAAAAACATCAATTGATTGCAGACAGTCCAATAACAAGGAACTGATGAGCCGACTAACTGAGAGCCAATATGAAGTAACAGACACTTTCAGCTTCTACTTGTCGCTTCGCAAGCCAGACCATTCCACTGGAGTGCATTTTCTAATCCCGCCCACTGGCTTCAAGTCGAATCCTGCTTCGCTGGCAAAACTTCAAAAGGTAAGTGGCCGGTCTCTTACCGATATTTGCACTGTTTCACTGTAACTTTAGTTGCCCAACCATGTCTTCGAGGAACTGGTGATGGACGTGTATGATGAAGTCGACCGAAGGCAAACTGAAGCAAGTGAGTAGTGGAAATTCTATTTTACATTCGGTCATTAGTGGCACTTATTATCATTAGCCAAATGTTTGCCTGGCGATTAGGGCTAGGCAATACGCTTTCAATGTCTATCTCATTTCAATATGTTTTCTTTTCTGACTGTCCTCTGCTAAGGAGCCCTGTAAGTATTTATTCAGTCCGATTAATTAACAATTAGCAGTCGTCCAAGCAGTAAGTGCGGAGTATGAACGCACTGAAGAGGGCTTTTGGTTAGCGAACTTTATACGCCCTAAACTCAGTTTAATTTAAAGCGTTTGTTTGTAGTCTGGTTGAGTTGCGCCGATACAACCGAGCTAAATGATGTTCCGTTCCTACCAGTGGACAATACTCTTTCCTCCACTCGAAACCAGGGCCGGCAGAAACTGGCCAGGTTTTCCACTCCCGAGCTTAAAAGCCTGGTTTACGATATTCTGGTTGATACTCAACGCAGACAAAGCGTGGATAAAGGTAGCAACTACAATAATTCAAAAATAACTATCACCACTCACAAATGCAATCCTAGGGAGCATGTTGAAACTGCGAGAAACCTCCGAAGTGGACGACAGCGACGACCCCCTGTACGACTCAGTGGCTGAAGACGAAGATTACGCGATTCCCTTAAGCAAAGAGGATCTAGCTGCAAATAAAGACAGCATGATATCAATCGACAGCATCAACAAGACCAACCAGGTGCTCGAGCAGCTGACAAAGCAGCTGAAAAACTCGGACAACACCATAACCGATCTGCGCTTGGAGGTGGCCAAGCTGAGGCAATGCGTGAAAGTTCTCCAGAGCGAAAATTGCGACTTGAGAAGTCGCCTCTCACAGAAATCCTCCATCATGAACGGAGATAGTGGATTTGACTCGTTGGAGTTCATTGGAGAGGTGAGTGCCCAACAAGCCCGCCAGGGTTCTGAAACATCAACATTCTCTGATGTTGCAGAATCAAGCTACAGAATCGTTTCAATCCATCACCAACGGCAAAGGGAGCGACGACGTGGACTTGAGGCAGAAAAAGGGCCAACAGCGTCCAACTAGCATGTACGAAACCAGGGAGGGCATCCACAAAGTGCACAATTGGCATGCTCTGAAAGAGCAAGTAAGTTTCATTATTATCCCACTATTACCACTAGAGTATTTATATTCGGCTCGTGAATTTCCAGTTGAAGCAAAATGACAACGCCAGAAACACATCTCCGGGTATCTATTCGTCGCCCTACGACAGAGAAACCGTTCTACAATGCACTGAGCAGATAACCCGCACTATTCAGCAACTATGTAAAAGCATCCAGGAGCCGGAAAAAGAAGAATGCGTGGCGAATGGCGAAAAAGTGAAATCCGCAATCGTTAAACTCGCTGGGACTTTGTCAAAGGTCGGTCTTAGCCCATTAGTATGTTGGTTAAATGGTAAATTAATTTGTTCTTTAGGATGCCGAGGGCGAAAAAATCAAGCTCATGCTTGAGGTGGTAAACCGGCTACACCCTGAATGCGTGAATCTGCAACTGGCGCGCGTTAAAAGCGACAATAAAGCGGTGGATGTGCATTTCAGCAACATCAGAGACATCGCCTTCAATCTTGCCAAATTCACTAAGGAAATCGTTACAAAATATTCATCATGCCAATGATAGTGTTAACTCGTTATTTTGAAACTAGAAGCTTATTAATTACTAAACCGTTTTTTCTCGTTAACGCCGATTGGTGTTTGTTAAGTGTAATTTTACACCCGTTATCGCTTTTATCTAGTTTAGGCATTCTAGTTAACGTTGGATTTATCTGTAGTTACGTTTGAATACTTGCTGATGTTACTAATTTTGACTGACTTCGTTTTAGTTTATTATATTTCCAAGGTACTATGAAATGTTGATTGCATAGTGCTGTGGCGAATATAATACACATTCCGTTCTACATCAACAGTTCCATTTCTCTAGATTTCCTAGATTGAAAAGTATTTAATAGATAATAGGTACATTTCCTCCGAGCTTTTAAAAAATGTGATTTATAATACACGAATCGGGACAGTTTGCAATTGACTGTGGATGGATTTTTAAACGTTGTTTGAGATGGGTTTTTTGTTACTTAGTGGGCACTTCTCACCTCAAGCCAGCGGCTCTTAAGAATCTCTCGACTGTATAGACGTTATATGCCCACTCCCTCAAATCAACGCATAGCTTTTTAATGGTACACAAGTTCTCGCATTATTAACGTTAAAATAACTATTGAAATACACTCAATGTTTATAGACAAATATGTATTACAAAAATACGTAATCACTTACTGTAATATGACTGACTTTACATAGGTTTTATATGCTAATAAACATATCGTTTCAATGTATGTGTTTGACTAGTTTAGAGCTGAAGGCACATCGAATGTACCCGATAATCAGGGTTGTTGATTAGCACTTCCAAATAACTATTGCTAGGTTCCCCCCGAAAAACATGTAAAGCAAGTTGGAGCATTCGTATGAGATTTCGAAACCGAAATCCTCTCCTACTACGACGTGAAATGGGGGCCCCAGTTTTTTGTCCATTTCGTCTTTCACCATTTTGGCCGCAGCCTTTTGGGAAGGAAATAGAAACTGTATTTTTCACGTTTCACTCATGCATCGACTTTTTTTCGTTGTTTTGAGACTACAGTTTGGAAATATTTTACAGGAAATACTTCCAGAACTCTCAGTTTTCGCTTGAGAAAGTTCTAATTTACTTTGAACATAGAAATAAAATTACCTCGTTGTTTGAGGAGAATTTCTCACACGCCGTTACCACCAGTTCCATTATCTCAGCTTTGGTCTCTTCCGCCATATCGGAGTGCTGGAAAGGCAGGAAAAAGGGGCGAAATCAATAAATCCCGACCATCAAGGGTGACTCACCCTCACTAAGGGGTAAGTATGTACGATTTTCTTCGGCTCTTCCTTCTGCTCTTTGACTTCCGTGTCTGCCATTGCAAGCTATTTGCCAATAACGAGTTTAATTGTTTAAATGAAAATTATTGCTTCTCGAAATAAGCCTTCAAAATTGAATTTTCGCACTCTAAACAAAATGTTGCCAACCGTTAAATACACTTCCCCCTAATCCATCCCGTTGAGTAGGAAGCAATTTTATTTAGAAAATCAGGAAATTAAGTAACAGACTGAAAAAAACCCAATCACTACACCAATTGCGATTAAAATTAAACCAAACAAACAGCTGAAAATGCCATAAATACATTTTAAAGTAATTATTTAGCTTGGCGAATTCCTGTCAAATCCCACAAGGTTGGTAGCATTTGCCGCTTCGATACATTCTTGCACCCGCGATGTGTTTATAAGTAAATTTTCTACTAAAATTGGGATTTATAATAAGCATTTTCCATCATATTTGTGTTGTGAACAAAAATGGCCCTCTTTTGTGCTAGTAAGTAGCCCGCCAATCACCCGAAGTTTCTTTGCCGGGCATTGTGAAAATCTAACCTAAATGTTGCCACTTTCCAGTTTCAAATGAGGTTCCAGAGCACCCAGTGGTGTCCCCATCGTCAGGAGCCGTGTTCGAGCGGCGCATTATCGAAAAGTACATCCAAGAAAATGGGGTAGACCCTATCAGTGGCAAAGAGCTAGCCGTGGACGAGCTAATAGAAATCAAAAGTAGGGCCCCCGTTCCGAGTCTAGCCTTACATTGCTGACGGAAAGCTTTGTTTTGTAGCGCCACCCATTGTGAAACCGAAGCCCCCGAGTGCTACAAGCATTCCAGCCACGCTGAAGCTGTTGCAAGACGAATGGGACGCTGTGATGCTCTACAGCTTCACTCAGAGACAGCAGCTGCACACTGCGAGGCAGGAGCTGAGCCATGCTTTGTATCAGCATGACGCAGCTTGTCGTGTTATTGCCAGGCTGAATAAGGAAGTGACTGCTGCTCGGGAGGCTTTAGCCACTTTGAAGCCTCAAGCAGGCATTACGAGTGTTCCACAGCCGGTAAGGAGTTACAGAGGATTTGGTAGAAACAACGTTGAGTATGTTATTTGAATTTTAGGCTGTTGCTGCTGAGCCCTCTGGAATAGCTGCTCAGCCAATAGAGCAAGCCGGCATGAGTGTTGAAGTTATCCAAAAGTTGCAAGAAAAGGCCACAGTCTTGACACAGGAGAGGAAGAAACGGGGGAGAACCATTCCAGAAGATTTGGCCACTCAAGAGCAAATCCGATCATTTAAGAACTTGGCCTCTCTGATTGTAAGCGCTGAAACTCTGGCTAGTTTTCGCCTTTTTTGATGAAAAACTTTGATTACAGGGCCTGCATTCCTCAAGTATTCCCGGGATTTTAGCATTAGACGTTCATAGCACGGACACCAGCAAGGTTTTAACGGGAGGCAACGATAAGAATGCCACTGTATTCAACAAGGATACTGAACAAGTTGTGGCTTTCCTCAAAGGCCACACGAAGAAAGTCACTAAAGTAATTTACCATACGAATGAGGACATTGTCTTGACTGGTAAGTTCTTGAGCGCGCAATTTCAAGGAAGTGCCTATTGGGGTTTTTTGCCTTTTAGCATCTCCTGATTCAACCATCAGAATCTGGCATGTACCAACCTCCCAAACCACTTTACTACTACGCTGCCATGATGGGCCAGTGACTGGTCTCTCTCTGCACCCTACTGGAGATTACGTGCTGTCCACTTCGGAGGATCAGCATTGGGCCTTTTCCGACATAAACACTGGCCGGTTATTGACTAAAGGTAGCTGCCCTAATTGTCCCCCCGCTTAGTTATAGCTGTGAAATTTTTCAGTTGTTGATAACTCTAACGTACCTCTAACTACGGCCCAGTTGCATCCTGATGGCTTAATTTTTGGCACGGGAACCGCCGACTCGCAGGTGAAGATCTGGGACTTGAAGGAGCAGAGCAATGTGGCCAACTTTACGGGTAAGTTGCGGGTTTTTGTGTAATGTGCCCGAATCAAATGTGCAAATGTGTCCTTCAGGTCACTCCGGCGCCATAACGACAATTTCCTTTTCGGAAAACGGATATTATTTGGCGACTGCCGCGGATGACGCCTGTGTGAAGCTTTGGGATTTGAGGAAACTGAAGAACTTCAAAACCCTTCAACTGGACGAAGGGTATCAGATCAGAGATCTTTGCTTCGATCAGAGCGGCACTTACTTGGCAGTAGCTGGAACAGATGTCAGGTAATTAGGCTACAAACTGGAGTGATTTTCGTTGCTAAATCAACGCTTTTCAGGGTGTATTTGTGCAAGCAATGGCAGGAGCTGAAGGTCTTTAACGACCACACGGCGGCTGCCACTGGAGTGCGATTTGGGAAGCATGCCCGGTTTATCGCTTCAACTTCCATGGATAGGACGCTTAAATTGTATGGTTTGGACTAAAAAATACGTTTTTCTGTTCTCTAGATGAAATTAAGTCTAAATAAAGTCGAGGACTTTATCACCTTCAGATTGGTAATGCATTTTGTAAAGCAATAAATCGGTTTCTGTCGTATGATATTAATGTCGTCAACAGTCCTAAAACCTTATCGTTCCTCCACCGCATGGATTTTACGCTCTTTTAAAGGAAATCTTCCCCGCAGATTAAAACCTAACGGCATCATATAATCGTAAATCCGCTCAGCATAATGAACTTCTGAAACTCGCCCAAGTACAAGAATGTTTTGCGCCAATGTATCCAGAACTTTGCATATCTCGCACTTCCGCTCAAACTCTAGTTTCGGAATAGATAAATTACTGTTTGGAATGTTCGGTGCCGTCAATGAACCCAGCTTGGGTAGTTTTTACGCTGATTATTACATCTAGAGGAAAATCGATTAAAGACCGTTTCCGCAAAATTAGACATGAACGAAGCCCGTTGGCGATGCAGTAAAATTGTTCATAAATTTCAATTAGTCCATAAAATTGAACATCTTCCTTAACGAACCGCGATGCTAATTTCAGCAGCCCCGCGGCCAGAAACCCTGCTTAAGCAACCGGGAAATTCATCGGCACAATTTGCTAAAAGAAAACCGTCCGAATATCTACTCGGGAAATATCCGGGCTTATTTTATATGCACCAGCAGCCTCCATCTGTACAAAACCGATGCACGCTTACCGACACCCATATATCTTTATCGGCATTTCAATATACCTACATATGGAAAGCCGCCCCGCTATTCTCTAAGGAGATGTTTTTTACGGCTCTAAGAATATTCACTGATGGAAACAATGCCTTCGGGTTTCCGCGTTAAAGTTGAGTTTCTTTCGCATAAAAAGTAAATAAAATGTTTTTTTAGGACGTCAAAAGTGCTAGGAAGTAGCCCGCATTGAATTAATTAGAAAAATAAATCCCCGTCATTCCCTATAATCTCCCCAATTAAATGCATGCTTGAAACAATGCTCATTGAGAAACTAAATTCATATAAAGCGAAATTACACGCGCTTTAATCACGGAAAGCGACTTTTATCTGTGTGATCTTAATTAAATATTTTATGGGGCGCAGTGACACGTTTATGATGTTAAAATAAAGAGCAATAAGCAAAAGGTTCTTTGGGGCTTTTTATGGATATTGCCAGCGTATAGAAATCCAGAGCTTTATGGGATTAATCAACAACGTATCGTAAATAGAACCGCTTTAGTAGGGCATATTTCTCTCGAAGTTCTTAAAGTGCAAGCAGGAGAATTTTCGATTTTTTTTTGAAAAATCGCCGCTGTAATAAATTACTCAAGTAACTCGCCAGATATATTTTCCGGTTCACCGATGATTAATGTGTTCAAAATGACAAATGCTCCTATTTAAATCAGTCCGGTTTTACCGCTGCATATAAATTACTTTGCGTTCAAGATATTAATGTTGAAAGCCGATTCGATCAATCGGCAGCGGTTGTTGGGCTTTTTGATCTGAACGTATTAAAAAATTTTAAAAAACTTAATGTTATATAAAGAGTTGGGTTTTTGCAGCCATTGCTTGAAACTGGTGGGTTTTGTGGGGCTTTTAAGTCTTCGTGGAAAAGATTTTTTTTTCTGCGAAGCAAAACTGGGAAAATTTAGCGATGTTTAGGGAACGTGCCAGAGCGGTAGGGAAAAACGTTTATTTTCCATCGCTGTTTGGTGCTGTTTGAAAAATTCGCGACAACTTCGGCTAATAGGCGATTTGGACGAAATTTTCCAGCACAGTTGAGCCAAACATTCTTTTTTACCTGCTGGTTGATGCAGGTTTATCGCGCGTCTGGTTGAGGAGTTACGAATTTTTTAGTCCAGCCGTGCTTCCATATCCAGTCTGGCCGAGCACTATATTGAAAAATTCCTCAAAAATTGGGAAATTTGGGGATTTTTACGAACTTTTCCAATATATTAGAGCAAAACATGCTCTTTCGACTACTGTTTCACGCAGCCTTAAGTCACTCTTGGGTTGGGAGTTAGAAATTTTTAAGTACTGCCATGTTTATAGAACCAGTTTAATTGGGAAGTTAATTGAAAAATTCGCGACAACTTCGGCAATTTGACGATTTGAACGAAATTTTCAAGCACAGTTGAGCCAAACATTCTTTTTCACCTGCTGGTTGATGCAGGTTTATCGCGCGTCTGGTTGAGGAGTTAAGAATTTTTTACTCCTGCCGTGTTTCCAGAGCCAGTCTGGTCGCGCACTAAATTCAAAAATTCGTCAAAAATTGGGAAATTTGGGTATTTTTACGAAATTTTTCAATATATTAGAGCAAAACATGCTTTTTCAACTGCGGTGCGGTGCAGCTTTAGGTGGCTCCCGGTTGGCGAGTTACACATTTTTAAGCCCAGCCATAACCATAAATTTATGAAAAATCCCATCAGCAGATTTTAACCCCAAACCCAATTTTCACCCTTTTAAAGCTAAATAGGAAAAAACCGCCATTACTTGTAATAACGTCCTGGGCAAGTTGGTTCAGATAAATTCAAATTTATTTGGGCCTTTTCGCAATATCGCGGATAGTTATCGTTGAAGACGCGATGGGGACTGAGTGAAGAAGGCCGGATAAAGATAGCAAATTCGAAGTTGAAAATTAGAAAAAATCATCAACACTTAATGCGACCGGAGAAGCTGCAACAAAAGCTAGTGGCTAGTGGGCGAAATCCAGAGCTTCGCTCTGGAGTTTTAATATAATTTCAACTTTTTTCGCCATTTCCTTTTTAACACCGCTAATATGAACCATCCACGTCCACTCCCTTCGGAACATGCTCTTTTAATTCACTTAGATTCTTGCCAAACTATTCCAACTAAAATCGAGTTAGCCGCTAACCGAGGCATTTCAACGCGCCGACCAAAGTCACCAATTTTATAAAACAACTTTACCTTTCGGGATTATTCGATTAATTACAGTCATAATTTCAGCGGGACCTTATTAGAGCCCTAACGGCCAACACAGGCAGGAACAAAGACAATTTAAAATATCAGAGATGAATCAACGACGCCCGGTTGAGATTAATGAAGAGAAAAAAGGCAACTAATTTTCCGCGCGAAAGAGTCACGCCATTTCTCAACTAACCGTCACGGAATCTCTTAACTTGATTATTCTCATTGGAAAAACCATTCTCATCCAGTATAATATTAATATTTCTCGTTTAATTAGTCATCAATCACTCTGGAGCGTCGGGAATTTCGGATATTTAATAAGGGTGAGGCACATTTACTTAGGTATTTGGGGCTCTTCACCTGAAAAGTTTCTGCTCATCGCCTTTTCCAAAACCAGCTCGAAGTACTAGCGTGAACAAACTGCAGTTACACATTTGGTAAAGTTTTGATTTTGAAATCCAGCCACCCGAAACCTTTTAGACCAGGCAATAAAAGCTTTTTGGCAAGTCAACACCTTCACTTGCTTAACATTTTCTTTGCCCTTTTCCTTCCGAATTTAAAGGGGCAACTAGGCGGACTGGCGAAAGAAGGGCCTCTACGTGATGTTTTCACATAATGGGATTTTTACGTTAAACGACTCCATCTCGATCCTTACTGGTCTTCGAACGATTCGGTTCACAAAACGTTCTCTTCAAGTTTACTGCTTTGATATTGCCCATAGGTACAGACCGGATCAGTTTATACGAATAATTGTCCAATTATTTTTTTTTTTGAGCTTAGGAGCGATTTTGCGAAATTGGATTTGCAGAATTGTTGTTTTATGTGTTATAAAACCGTCCACAGCAATGATGGCTATTGGTCCCGACGATTCATTAGCACGTGTGCGTGTGTGTGTATCTTCAGAGGTGTTTTTACGGTGCCTGTTCGAATACATAAAATAAAAATGATGTTCCCATTTGAGAACGTAGCTGGTATCGGTTGTCTTACTCGCACCCATAGTGGTGCGTGAGAGACGCAAGATGGCTCGCTCAATGCTACGTTCGAAATTGATACCTTCGCCGCTAAAGCTAATTTAGTTTCAGGATGGAAAATTATTTTTCCCAACTTTGAAATGCAGTGTGCTTCTAGAATCACGATCTAGTTACCAAAAGTAGTCAACTTTGTGGGTATTTTCAACTAAAATCGCGTAGAAGTTGTGGAATATTTGATGATTTTTTGGGTTATTAGAGCGTGGTCGATAGGAATTTGATCCTGACTTCAGAGCTGAAGCTTTTGAGGATGGTAGCCATGCGTGCTAGGGAAACGTCGGGAATAACTCAAAAAATCACTAATTCCTTATCAGCCGTTGTTGTCCTTTAAAGGAGATGGTAATAAATAAATATGTACGGCAATAATCCGCAGGAAAATGGCACAGTAAATTAGAATTATTAAGTTAATTACGCAATAAGGCGATTTTTACTGCGCAAAACACAAAAGGGAGAAGGAATAATGATTTCTGATTTAACGGGCACAATACTCGTAAAACAATCCGGCTTCGGTTAATTTTCGTTCCGAATTAAAGACAGATTTATTGTCGGGTGGTTTTTTGTTCGATCGGGATTTACGTTCGGTTGAATTGACAAATTTTAAGTTCCATTGATTTATTGCTCGCGGTTTTCCAATTTCTCAGCTTCCTCAATCGATTAGAGAAGTTTCCCACATCTAACAGTTTTTCGATAACGAGCAATAATAATAATCGAATTCAGTCAACTGGGCTTTGAAAAAATGAAAAGTGGATCTTTCAATGGAAATTCGATGGAATAAAACGAGCCAAATCACAACGATAAATTCGGTTGTGTGTCAATCAGCGTAAAAACAGCTAATTTAGGAGGCATTTTGGGCGCAAAATCACATATTTCAATTTGGGCTTAATCACGGCTTTGACGAGCTTCGTGAACTTGAAAAAAAATCCAATTCGACTGAATAAATTCGCTGTCCCGACTAATTAGGCCCCGTTTTTTCTCATTACGAGCGATTGTGCTTTGATTTTTCGTCTATTCTGCTTTCGCAGGATGGCATTGCGTATATTGGGCAACAGCGTTGCTGAAAATAAATTAATTTTTTTCAGGAAATAGCAATTATATTATTTTCTTTCCTGGGCTCAGTCACAGTGTGAAATAATTCTTTTTGTATATCGTTTAT